TAGAATTATTAACAATTCCACATTGGCATACAGAAATATTATATTTACATATATAATAAGATAATTAGAAATATCATAGAAAATTATGACTCCATTACATTATCGTAGCACTGTTACACCTACTGCATAGAATAGAGCATAATTTTAAAATATTCAGTGATTGTTAGTTACATTCATGAAGGAATTAATCCTCAAGGCTACATAAGTTCATATAAATATAAAATCTATACCCACAAAGTACACCCTAAATGACCAATGAACAATCACATTTAATTATTTAAATGAATTCCTTATTAATTGATAGAATTTGAAATAAAAAAAAAAATACTTGAACTGCCATTTACACTCAATACTAAACTTTTGACATTAGCTTATATACTGGCACGGATAAGTAGCTTGTGTTCAGAGCCCTCAACCGCGGCGATGCTGAGCTGGTAAATGTCGGAGTCAATTTTCTCATAAACATGAGATGTGAAATTACTAGGCGGAAATAGCTGCGTTCATCCTCAAATTCGCTGTAATACACACTCTTAGTTTTTTCCGTTGGACGAGCAGTTTCGAACACAGCATAAATCCTCCAACACTATGAGTTTAATAGTAATTATGTTCCTGTGTTTTTGTGTATTTATATTTATAAGGTATCTGTATCCGTATGTAATATTAGTGTGACTACTTGTAAGTGTTTGTTTGTGTGAACATATATTCATGAATGCATATTCTTTTTATATACACGCACAAAGATATGTAATGACACATACGAGTACATACGGTATATATGCACTTTATGCCTATACAAAACTGTGTTTGTTTACTTGCATGAATGTGCATGTGTGCGTATGTATATATATATATATATATATATATATATATATATATATATATATATATATATATATATATATATATATATATATATATATATATGTATATATATATCCGACTTCCTGTAAAACTACGTCCGGGAAGTTAAGATAAAAATATATTTTTATTAATAAATAAATAAATATATATATATATATATTTATTCATAAAAAAAAACTATTTTTATCTTTATTTCCCGGACGTAGTTTTACAGGAAGTCGATATCAGTGATACTCCAAAGAAAGTGTGGGAACTCGATCCTCGTAGTTTTCTCATACGCCATATATCTTCCACAAGGTCGGGATATCGGTTAGTAGAAAAGTATTCGGAAATCATCACTCAATTCTTTATTCAGCGTTTTAAATCCACCAGTAGATAGGAAAACAACAACGTCGCGTTTTTGCAGATACCTTACTTATCCAATTTGTTGGAAGAAAAGTTTTCATTATATTTATTGTATATCATTGTATGCCGGGATGTACTATTGGCCGAATGATTTTGCGGCACGAGCTGAGATTTTATCCGACACACTGTAGTGCATTGAAATAGAGTAGTATTAACCCTTTTCTTCTATAAACTATGTTAAACAAAAGTCTGCGCAAATTTGTCATCATATTTTGATATATGAAATCAAATACCCAATAAAGCATTTGGAAAAAAAAAACATTGTGTCTTTTTATCCTTTTTTTTCTCTCTTTTTTCTGTCTAAGTGGGAGAAATGACCTCTTCCAAAAAATGACGACGCCCAATTACGGCTAAATTACATGCAACTTGATTATATATGTTGCACATTTGCTTAATTACTGAACAAGGGAGAATAAATAGATTTGTATGGATAGTATGCTTTCGTTCCTCCGACAAGCGAACTGTAATGAGCGACAGAATGTTATGTCATTTATTTATTTATGTATATTTTTCACTTTATCTTGCTTTGTTCATTTCTAGCAAATTTCGTGAGACATATCCTTTAGGGAATGTAAGCTGTATGCAATTAAGTTAAATGAGGACATTAACATTCGATTTGGAAATTAAGACTAGGAAGGTCCGTTCTTCATCTACTTTCCTTTGCATCTAATTTCAAATATTAGAATATAGATTACAAAGTTTGCATAGCCCTTTTTTTAACTTTATTTATAAACTTTGTTTTCATATCAATTTTAATAAAAAAAAAATCATCAAACTTTTTTTATATTTTTGTCGTATTTTCTCTGCGAAAAAAAACATACTTTGTCTTATTTTTATGTCCATTATCATTATCATTTTTGAAATTATGATGAATGAATTTGCTCTGCTGATCAAATGCAAATCATGCCAATGATTTGATTATTTCGATTGTATGACCGAAAACAAATATAGCTGTATATATGCCAGTCACGGGTAAGTTTTTTTATGTGATATAGAACGAATTATTGTCATGGCAAGATGTTTAGCCTGTGCTGACGTCACGGAACGTGACGGGAACATTTCATTTATTTCAAGTTTTGTGGACGGAACATCGGCGCTGTCGGACGTGCGAAAACGAATCGAGTCAAAATGTCATACTGCTTGAACAAACCTCACTGAGAGGGTCCCGTGCAACAGCGGATTGTTTACAGTTGCATGAAAATCATTCACATTATTATGAATTCTGAATGCCACATCACATGCTACTATTAAGGGTTATAAATTACAACCCTTAATGTCATGTGGCACTGGGTGTATGTCCGTTTTCAGGCAAGTCGCACGCGTGTCAGGCCGCTTTTAGTCGGTTCACATGTTATTGTTCTTCTATTGTTCGCTTTCGTACCAAGGTGGCAAATGACACGTGCCACCGTGATTTCAGGCCAAGGTTACACGTGGCACGTGGCACTTGGTTCACAGGATGGCATTATCGGAAGTTGTCGATGTTATTAGTGTCTTGTGAGGATTATCTGTCTGGCACTTGGAGGAATAAAGTGGAGGGCTTTGGGCAAAAGATGAAGTGAAATTGTTCCAATAGCCTGAAGATACTTGCAAGGATTTTTTTTTTTACCATAAACAAACTATTTTGATAATTCTACCAAGAGTATTGTTATTTCATTGTGGTGACGTATCACACAGACATTTGTATTTCTCCAAATGTTTGAACAACTTGTCAAATGTGTTGGCGGATAGCTTTCAGGACACATGTATGCCATACGTCCAAAAGGTTTTTTATCATTTTTTTTTTAACGTTTCTATATTAACTTAGTTAACACTTTGAATGCAAAATATGCAGTCCGAAATAGCAGGTCGCACTCTGAAAATAACGGACAAGTTGGATCTCGGTGTCGCACGCTGATCGCAGGTGGCACATGTGACGCGCCATGCCACTTCTATGTGAAAGGTTTCAAATAATTTCGGATGTTCGTTTTCGAATGGAGTGCCACATGGCATCCCACGTACGACGTTTCGCCTTGGTGTGAAAGCGGCTTAAGTCTTAAGTAATCTTGTGACAACCGTCTGTCTGAATGAAGTTGAGTTATTTGGGGCAGAATGTGAGGCAAACTTGTTCTAATACCCCCTGCTCTCTCTTGTAGGGGTGACCTTCAAGCTGAAACTACTTCAATGTACACGCAAGCACACACACACACACACACACACACACACACACACACACACACACACACACACACACACACACACACACACACACACACACACAAGCACACACACACACATATATAGATAGATAGATAATAAACAGATAGATAAATAATAAACAGACAGATCAATAATAAACAGATAGATAGGTACATACGCATCTACTAATAGGTACATATACGTATCTTATGGTGTTCCTGTTTTCTTTTTATAATGAAAAAATGCTCCCCTTCCTGTCCTTGCCTCCAGGCTAGTACAGTGGTAACGTGTCGGCTTTTTATCCGAGGGGTCGGCGGTTCCCCCCCCCCCCCCTCCCAGGCGCGAGAAGTTGCAATTGTCGCCTGGAGGTTACTGCTGTGGCTGGGCACCACGGCGGGTAAGGACAAAGCCGAGTTAGCACCAGCTGACACACTGTTAGCGAGTCGATATTAGTCGACACAGGCCGGGCTTCCCTCATAGCCCAGGCGAGGCTCAGCTTCGCATATCGTACTTATCCTTATCCTTCCTGCCCCCCCCCCCCCCTCAATCTCTCTCTCTCTCTCTCTCTCTCTCTCTCTCTCTCTCTACTTACTATAAGAGCGACAGGAGGGCGTCGTGGAAGCAGAAGAGCGAGATCAGTCAAGGTAGAGCACTAAAGCCTGCATGTCTGCTGTGCACTGAGTTAAGTCACACATACATATGCATATTCCATATTTGGTGTATCTATATATACATACATGTGTACAATTACTCACACCTTAAAGTTACATTATGCTTCCAGAGAGCCGGGTGACGATGGCTTCCCATTTTTCCTGGTTCCTGTTTTCCCTGTTGGCACTCCTCTTCTGCCACGATGCCGCCCTCTCTGCCAAGACGCCTGAGGAGCTTGACATCCAGACACTGGAAAAAATGAAGGAAAAGGTGAAAGAAAAGGTCAAGGTAAGCAATGCGTTTTAAGTTCCGTGAATACAATAATGTTCGCTACGTGTGGCGAGAAATAATATTTACTTGGAGATTTTGTTGTCACCCTCTGGATACTTTCCCTTTTTTATGTCTTATTAGGACAACAATCAGTTTGGTGTGCTGTATCTGCCAGGGAAGAACCTCGAAGGCCAAGAATGCCATAAACTAAGATTCAACAATCCCAGAGGAGTTAATGGACACTGTAATTTTGCTCCCGTGTTCAGACTTCCAAATCCATTAAAAGGAAATAAAGAGGTAATTGTTGATACTATTTATAGACGAAACTCCTACTTATTAACACATGATAATGAACACAATATCACTGAATTAAAAGTTTGCAACGAGAATAACTGGGTTCTGTTTTTTCCCCATTTTACAGACAGTAACTCACAGTGAGTGGCAGCTGATCCACACGGCGCTGACGCCCATGCTCGAGAAATGGAAGGAAGGAAATGCCAGGATGAAAAGAATGTACAGAACGAAAAGAGGTAAAAACAACAAAAATAAACGCCAAAGGAAGAAGGCTAAAGGAAACAACATCAACTCTGGAAACACCAAGAAAGGAAATGAAGCAGGAAAGAGCAAAGGCGGGACCC